AAAAATGTCAAGAGTTGTAATCAATTGAATTATATTATGGCAAAATCATAAATTCAAGATAAAAATCAAGTCAATTAAAATTATAGGGATTAAAATAACGCAATGACCAAATTAGAGCATCTCCACTAAAATAGTCAAATTTTTAGTTAAATTTTAACTAAAATTCTATTTTTCTATTTTAGCTAACCATCTTTTTAAATACATTCTCCAACAAACTTTTTATTTTTTATTTTATTTGTTGAGTCATCTTTCTCTAATTATATGTAGCTAATGATTTGATATTCAACTAAAATAATTAGTCAATAATTGAGTTTGGTGGAACGTATTTCTATAGTTTTGTGCTATAAAATAGCTAAGAAAAAACTCTAATGAGCTTGATAATATTTGATAATAATGCTCAAGAACTACAATCATAATTTGTCCAATTAAAAAATTTAACGACAGCCGAACAAAGCCTAAGTCCAACTTTCTTGGTGGTGCGAGACTTCCTAATGTTATATGTTGCTATGCACCAATTAGTGTACTAATTGATGATGTGACATAATTTAAGATGTTTTTAATATTTGTAATTTGTATAATAAGTGGGATCAATAATGATGTCATAACTAGTGTTGGTACATTAGTTATTACATTAATTGGTACATGTAGCATTTCTCAATTTATAAACGCTAATGTGTATATAAAATCTATTTAATGTGATATTTTGATCTTATTTTTTTTAAAGAATAATACTATATGTACCAATTAGTGAACTAACTAGTGTATCAATTGATGATGTGACATAATTTAAGAAATTTTTGGTATTTATAATGTAATTAATGAGTGATGTCAATAATAATGTCATAATTAGTATTAATACACTAATTAATATACTAATTATTATATATAATACTACCGTTTTTAAATTTTTTTTTACCACACTAGAGCTCAATTAGACTCCAGTCTCAGAGGAGGTATGAATGTTGAAAAAAGAATTATCTCCTGAAATATCGGACCATTCATTGCGGGTACGTATTCGATTCCTGTTCCTCTTTATTCACATTTTAAATTCACAATCTCTTGCCTTCATTTTCTTGTATCAGGATCCTCTGAATATTGGCCCTGAAGTGATCCCTGAAGTGTGTTGATCCAATGGCTGAGAATGTAACTAACCAAAACGTAATTTCAAAAAAAAAAAAAAAAATTGAGTTGATTCAAAATTCCCAAATCATCTGTGATACGTGAAGCATCAGAGATGAGAGAGAGAGAAGAGAGAGAGAGAGAGAGAGAGAGAGAGAGAGAGAGAGAGAGAGAAAAGGGCTGAGAGAAGAGCTTCCGATCCACCCCCGATCACCGTTGCCACGCCGCTGCCGTTGCCATGCCGCTGCCTCGCCATACTCCAACAAATTGAAGGAAAAGAGCACAGGTTTGTTCATCCTCCAAAGTTAAAATATTAGGACTTTGAATCCAAAAATTAGGGAAAATCTGAACTTGGTACACTCTGTCATTGTAAATGTGATCATGATGTTTATACAAGAATCTTTGTGTATGTAGTGTTTTGTTAATTCAAAGTTGAATCTATGGTGACGTTTCAAATCTAATGAATATTTACGAATCTGATTTCTTCATATTCTTCCTTACAATTTTTTATTTTATTTTATTTTATTTTAATTTTTGTTCTCTGTTTGCTTTTAGTTTAATTTTACTTGGCCTTTGGAATTTTGTTTTTTGAGATATGGTTAAAAAAAATTTAAATTTCATATAAGATCTGACATTGGAGGAAGGGAAATGTTTCGGTAGGTCAAAATTTTCAATTGTAGTACAAAAACCGTATTGAAAAATTCTTGAATAGAACAATGATTTGTGAGAAATTTAACAAACTTATGTGTGAATTAGAAATTGAAAGCCTTATTTTTGGTGTTTTTGGTACCAGAACTGGGTATATTTTATTCTTCAATTTGCAATTGGATCTTTGTGGGTATGATGATGATAGTTGTTACAGGGCTAATCTTTTTATTTACCTCTCATTATATTGAGGCTTTGGAATTCCGTAGACATATTGGAATTTAGAGTCTGAAAAAACATTTCCTGTTTCACATCATTTGCTACTTTGAGATGACAAAAAGTGTGTACATATTTCGTGTATTTGGATTATGGATTTTAAGGAAAAAATATTTGATAACTTATTGTTCAAGGGGACAACTCAAATTTAAATTTGGATGTTCATTGACTTTGAGAGTTTTGTTGTGACTCATGATAAATTATAATGGATTTGAAATAACAATGCACATATTCTAATTGGGTAAAATCATAGGAAAATACTTATCTTCTAACTCAAATCTTTTTTCCCCATTCGTTTTTTCAGTCTATCAATAATAATCAACTCTCCTACATTTTTAGAAAAGTTTAATCCTGATAATGCCTACTTATTCTAAAGGGTTCATGCACATATTGGAAAAGATTCATGCATACTTATTTTGATAATGCCTCTCATAAATCAAAACAACATATTTACCATATCTAAACATTTCATACCAATAAGAAATATATATCAAAATCCACTGATCAAAGTTGGTTGTAAGGGAAAACTTCACTATACCCCTCCCCCCCCCAAAAAAAAAAAAAAACTGATTACTTAATGCTCGATATTAGTTTTGCAGGTTATGGGCAAAACTATTTTATAGATGAGACTTCAACTTATGGATAAATCATTGGATCACAATACCACACAGAGCTTGACTGAATATTTATAAATTCCCTACTCCCATTACCCATTTCATGTACTTATTTACCTTTATAGATGGCAGGATTCACTCCCATTACCCATTTCATGTGATTTAGAATTTGAGTCCTACTCATTTTTGTTCCATTTGTTATGTCAGGTAAAAAAATGTCAACATCAAATGCATCTATGACTGATATTAGCGAAATTCAGTTTAGTAATCGGAAATGTCGTTGCGGGGTGAGAGCAGCATTCAGGATTTCAGAGTCAAAGGACAATCCGGGGATGGTATACTTTGCTTGCCCTTCAAACAACACCAATGGATGCGGCTTCTTTCAGTAATGGATGCCTGTACACAAGCAGCGTCAATGGTTGAAGATGATAAGGGAGGAAAGCGACGACAATTGTAATATCAACCCTTTGGTCAACAAAGTGATTGTATCCAATGATGAGCTGAAAGAGATAGTTACAAAGCTTACGAAAGAATGTAAACAAATGGTTGTAGGGATTAGACAACTTCAGAAAAAGTTGCACTATGCCATTGTAATAATGTTATTTGGATTTGGACTTCTTTTGTTGTTTAAAAATTAAGTGTAATTTAAATTCGGATTTAAACTTCGCCTTTTGTGAACTAAATATTATGTGTAAATGAAGTTGGTTGTTGACTTCTTTTGTTTGTTTGGATTGTTGGTTTGGATTGTTGGTATGGTATGTTACCGTTTTTTGTGCTTCTAGTTTATGTTGTTATTGAAGATATGAAGGACAATGGTCCATGTATACATATATAGAATTCCATGAACTGTTGCCATTTGTTTACTTTGATGTAAATTAGGACCCTCCAATGATCTATATCCTCATGTGATGCTCAGATTTATGTCCCACTCAATTTCAGACCATTGTTATGACCAAACATGTATTTTCAGATTTTTCAGAAATTCAAATGGAAAAATGTTTTATTCAAATTGAAGGGTTATAATGATTGACCAACATATCAGCACAGATTTGGTTTATTTGGTTTACATATCAACACATATCAACATATCAGCCCAAATAAACTTATTTTTTGCTGATATCAAAGTAGAATGAGATTCCCATGATTTGAACATAACGTAAATTTCAGCAACATATTTCAACAACTTTGAGCACCATTTCAGTACATATTTCAGCAACATATCAACACAAATTTCAGCAACATATCAGCACATATTTGAGCACCATTTGAACCAAATTTCAGCAACATATCAGCCCAACTTTGTTGCCATTTGTTTACTTTGATGTAAATCAGGACCCTCCAATGATCTATATCCTCATGTGATGCTCAGATTTATGTCCCACTCAATTTCAGACCATTGTTATGACCAAACATGTATTTTTAGATTTTAAAAAATTCAAATGGAATAATGTTTTATTCAAATTGAAGGGTTATAATGATTGAGCAACATATCAGCACATATTTGATTGAGCAACATATCAGCACAGATTTGGTTTATTTGGTTTACATATCAGCACATATCAACATATCAGCCCAAATAAACTTATTTTTTGCTGATATCAAACTAGAATGAGATTCTCATGATTTGAACATAACGTAAATTTCAGCAACATATTTCAACAACTTTGAGCACCGTTTCAGTACATATTTCAGCAACATATCAACACAAATTTCAGCAACGTATCAGCACATATTTGAGCACCATTTGAACCAAATTTCAGCAACATATCAGCCCAACTTTGAGCATCATTTTGGCACATATTTCAGCAACATATCAACACAAATTTCAGCAACATATCAGCACAAATTTGAGCACCATTTCAACCAAATTTCAGCAACATATCAGCCTAAATTTAAGCACCATTTCAGCACATATTTCAGCAACATATCAGCACCAATTTCAGCATTATTTCAACCAAATTTCAGCAACATATCAAACCAAATTTCAGCACCATTTCAGCACATATTTCAACAACATATCAGCACAAATTTCAGAAACATATCAGCACCAATTTTAGCATCATTTTAACCAAATTTCAGCAACATATGAGCAGAAATTTGAGTACCATTTCAACCAAATTTCAGCAACATATCAACACAAATTTCAGCGCCATTTCAGCACATATTTCAACAACATATCAACATTCACATAAAAAAAGGTTAAGGTCATTTCAACATTCAAATTTCAGTACAATCTGCCAAGTCTTCAATATTACATATCCAACAAAAAGGTTTACAAATTTCTCAAATTTCTACATTAACATAAAAAGTGTTCAATATTACATATCCAACAAAAAAAATTCAACGCTACGATATTGACGTGTGATCCACATTCCCATGGCCTGGGCCACGCCCACGACCACGCCCATGCCCATATAGTACCTAAAAAAGAAAACAAATATATATAAGGAACCATAAAATAAAATGGAACTTTAAATGAATGAATGGCAAGATAAAAGAGGATTGGTGAAAAATAAATTACTTCACTATATGCAAGACTATTCGAGGCTTGCGAGTCATAACCACTTGCATTGTTAAGCAAGGCTTGATAGCTTCCATGGACCAAATACATCGATGGCATTGAAAAATGCATATTGTGACGAAGAAAACTTGGCCGCAACAATAACAAACACATATCAATTTAAAATGGTACAAAATATTTACAAATAAGTCATAATAAAACTTCTTACTAAAGTAACTTACATCATAGGCGGGATACATAAATTGAGTAGATGAAGCATTAACTTGAGGAACACACGTCGAGAATGGAGGAAGTTGAGGAGAACTTATTGAAAATAAAGGAGCTGATTGAGGAATACTCGGTGAAAATGAGGGAGATGGCTCAGGAGCACTCGCCAAAAATAAAGGAGGAGGTTGAGGAGCAACAGACATGGGAGTTTGAGAAGCATTGTGTGAACTAGGTTGAGGAACAACAAACATGGGAGTTTGAGAAGCATTATGTGAACTTGTTTTATTTTTCTTTGCCAACGCAAGCTCCAAACCACCTTTTGTCTGCCTTCGTCCCTTGCTAGTGCACTCTCTTCGTTTGAGTCCTTTTGCTTGAACTACATTTGTATCCACTACACCATCCACTTCAAAGCTTTCGAGGCATGTGTCAGGAGGGCTTTCATGTTCAATAGTATCTGAGAAAGGCATATTAAATTTTGCGCTTAACATGCTTTCAATGTTTGCAATTAAGTCATCCGCTTTCTCTACCGTCAAGTTATATGTTTCCTCACTTTCGGAAGCTCTACACGCTACTGCTTTGAAAATTGCCATCAATGATCTAAAGCGTGAAGTTTGATGCAATCTTAAATCAACCTTAATATCATGCCCACACCTATCTTTCACATTTTCAGCTCTTGCTTTTTTAGTCCATCTATTGAGAATATATTGGGAAGGAATCTCTTTGAATTTGAGGATTTCTCTAACGATCTTCAAACAATGACTACACAAAATGCCTTTCATTTCAAATTTCCTACAATTGCAAGTGAGTGAACCATCACACTCCACTGTCACCTTCCTCACCTTTACACCATCACTATCAAGAACCGTATAAATGGTACTCTCACCACAAATTTCAGTTTCTTCAATGTTTACTTCAAGGGACTTGACATACTCATCTTGAAATTCTTCATAAATTTTATTTGTGTAAACATCTGCAGCTTGCTCCATAATCTTCACTTTAATATTCACCCTCGGCAACTTATGGCATAGAGTATATTCGACTTGTAACTCTTTGTACCTCTTCTCACAAAGAACTCGATCAAAATGCATGAAAAATTGCATTAAGTTATGATCACACTGAATGAAATCCTTCAAGAATGCATTAAAGGATTCACTAAGTTGGGTGCTACTCATACCCGCACCCCATGCATTTCTAACATATGGCCAACCCCATTTTTCCTTGACTCCATATGTTAACTTCAACCAATGATTATCTCGCACTTCATACTTGTCAAGCATTTCCTCCCATTTTAACGTAAAATCATCCTCATCCTCAATGTCGTACATAAATTTGGATAAAACACTCTCCATCCCCTTATCCCTCACCTCCTTATCCTTGAAGATAGAATTTGCATGCCTTAATGCATTTTGCATCAAATGCCAAGTACCAAGGCGGTGTTTTGTGTTAGGCATGACAATAGGTATGGCCTTAGCCATTGCAACATCCTGATCCGTAAAAATTATTTTCGGAGCCTTACTTGACATTGCCTCCAAGAATCTTCTAAAAAGCCATATAAAAGAATCAGCAGTCTCATCATACATCAAAGCTGCGCCAAATATAACAATTTCCCTATGATGGTTAAATCCAACGAAAGACGCAAATGGTCTATGTGCACTATTAAACTTGTAAGTAGTGTCGAAAGTGACAACATCACCAAATTGCCCATAATCCATGATCATCTGAGCATCGGCCCAAAATATGTTTGTAATCTGCTCCTCACTATCTAATTGGACCGAGTAAAAAAAAAGATGGATTCTCCAATGTCTTCTCACGAAAATATTGCAAAATGCTACCTGCCTCCCCATATGCTAAACATTTTTGCCTCTTCGTTCTCAAATAATTTTTTTGGTCCACTTTTGTGAACCCAAGCGACTCCCTTCCACCAACTTCATTACCCATGAGCTCAAATGCAGCATTAAACTGGATTCCAGATTTTTCAGCTAAATCTATTTCGGTTGCCTGTGATGCAGATACCTTCCTTTGGGATGGTAACATATGTGTACATTTTGTTGGTACAAAAATATGATTATGTTGTTCAACAAACTCATCAACAAAAAATTTATGAATATTCCTATCCCACTTAATGATAAGTCGGGCTTGACAACCAATCCTCACTTCCTGCCTAGGATTTTTTGTTAATGGATCTCGCTTGTCTATACCCCGAAACCCCTCCTTATTACAAACAAATAGCCTTGAAGTGATTTGCCCCTCCTTGTTCTTGTTTACATAACCCCTTCTAATACTAAACCCCATCCTTCCTCCATAAGCATTATAGAAATTATATGCTTCTTGTTCTGTATCAAATGTCATGTGAACTCTAGGCTTCCAATCACAATCACCCCCGTCATTCTCAACATTGTTAGGTTCCATATCACTGTGCCAAGTCACTTAAAAAAATAAAAAAAAGGTGCTCAATAGTAGCATAAAAACTGTAAATTATGTTTGCAAAATAATACAAACTAAATAAAAACACTACAAGAATTGAATCATATTAGATTATATAAACAAAAGGGCACAAAGATGGTCTTCAATGTTAAATTATGTTTTAAATGATCCAGATTGAACACAAATTCCTTAATTTTCTTATAATCAACAAGTTAACATACAAAATCAAAATTAAAATTAAACAACAAAAACAAACAAAATAAATGGATGAATGAAATGTAAGATACTTCTATTTATATACATTATCTTTGACTGCACCAAATGTTTAAAAAACAAACATCACTTATCAGCTAAAGTGATAACCATAACAATAAACCATGATGATAATTTTTAATCTAGGTCAGTTAAAGCTGATTTTTTGTTTTCATTTATTTTTAACCATCCTTATTAAAGAAAATGCCAACAAGTTTCCACACCTCCACAGCAAACAAAAAAGAAAGGGGTAAGAAAATCAACCAAATCCAACATAATCCTAGTCCCAATAGAAGTCTAGCTCCAATGGACTTAGGATTACTGCTAATCTTGGACTCCCAGTTGAATTAGGATAAACTCTCTAAGAGTCTTATCTTAATCCAAACTGAAGTCTTCTCCCATTCTACGACTCTTGTTCCTTATCTGCTTATCTCGGATTCCGGTATTTTCATAAATAACCTCGGCCTTGCCGAGATCACCTCGGCGTCATGACCAGGACACGTGGCACCTCGGCTGGCACTTCGGTGACACCTCGACCACGTGTCGTTATTCAAAATTTTTATGTCCCCACAGTATATATATATTATTTACTATTTGATTTTATTTTTTTTCAATATGTAAATAATAAAACAATAAGAAACAATGATATTTATGTTAATGATTAGTTTTGATGGGGTAAGATTAGAGTTTTAGATTGAAGAGGAAGATGAAGATGAAGATGAAGATGAAAAAAATAATAATAATTAAAATTTGAGAAAAAAGATGAAAATAGTTGAATATGAAAAATAGCTATAAGTGATTTGGATGTATCGTAAGAAAAAATAATATTTTATTTTAGAATTTAATGTATATTGTCCTTAGTAGTAAATTTACATTAAGGTATAATAGGAATTCTAATTTCAAAATTTTAATTGAGCGTACTAAATTATTATTTGGGTGCAAATAGAATCACCATGATTTTTTAGCTAAAAGTCATTATAAATTGGTATATTATTTTATCTATTTTGTTCACATATAATTTTTTTTTTTTGTAAAAAAATCAAAAAGTCAATTGAAATAGATTTGTCATATCATTTTCTATTTTTCTGTACATTTTTCATAAAAAAAAATTAAAATAGTCAATTTCTAAACTAGGCATAAGTCAAGCCGACCTTTGAGAAGCTTGAGATTAATTCATTGAGGCCCTGTTTGTTTGGGGTTATAGGAAGGGGATTGGGACAACTAATACCTTGGTATTATTAATACCTTATTTATTTTGAGAGATGGCCTTGGGACTACTAATACCTTGGTATTACTAACACCCTTGGAATGGGGATTCATAGTGAGGAGATAGAGGTGGTATTAGAAAAATAGTGAGGGGATTAGAAATTTTTTTATTTTTTTTATTTTTTATATATTCGGAATTTTTTTAAAAATATTAATGTTTAATTTTTATAATTTTTTTATTTGTTTTATTATTTTATATAAAAATAATTTAACAATTTCTCACTATCAATCCCCTCCATTCTATCTCTAAAAACAAAAATTAATTGGATTTAAGTTTAATCTGGGCACACATTGAATTTTAAAAAAGAAAGTCAACACGTACAAAAATTAAATACAGAATGGAACACAATCCTAGGAAATGAGTATCAGGATCCTCTGAAGTATTGGCCCTGAAGTGATCCCTGAAGTGTGTTGATCCAATGGCTGAGAATGTAACTAACCAAAACAGTTTTGGTTAGTAATTTCAAAAAAAAAAAAAATTTGAGTTGATTCAAAATTCCCAAATCATTCCCTCCAGTAAGCAAAGTTGTGTGGCGGTGTAGACGTCCCCGAACGTCCTGGGAGGATGAATCCCGTTTCGTTCATTTGGGCTCACTACAGTTCAGGACTCAAATGTCATGGTCCTGTATCTAATCTCGCAGAGTGCAATGCAAGACCGATGAATCATCAAAGAGTCCAAATCCGGTAAATCGTTTTTGAAAACGGATTTTTCTTGAAAGAAGTGCCAAACATGGACTGCTTTGCCAGATATAGAGTCGCCACCTAAATATTTTATTTTGGGGAATTTAGGAAACCCTGACTCGTTTGCCTAAGGCCACGTGTCCGTCATCACCAAAGTTGCCTCGGCTCGGGAACTTGGGTACGATTGGAGAAGGTCACTTCGTGAGCACCCCCGCTTGCCCGATCAAAGATCGGCCTCTACTAACCATGATATCGAGTTTTGAAAACATTATGTGCTCTTATTCTGGTTATTATCCTAGATTTACTACGTGATGCGCATAGCATAAAAGTATAGATTGGGTTGCCTGAATTGGAACAACACATCTCATGTTTGTTTATTTTGAAAATGGTTTGATGGTGTTACCCGTAAGTAGGCTAAGATGTGGATTTGCCACCCTCGGGTGGGCTTAGAAAACGTGATGGTTTGCCACTCTCAAGTAGGCTTAAAACTCACAGTCAATGCATTATTCCAATTCAGATAATCCAACCTTCACCCACAGGCATTCAGACAGATATATCACATAAGCAGTTAGCCTCATGGTAAGCATGCTATCATGGCAGTCACTCACACGCATGCAAGGATGCTAAAGAATAAGTACTTACCGAGTACTCCAAGCCAAAACAGAAGCTATGTTAGAAATCCATGCATGATCCTAGCTATACAGAAATGTCTAATACAACACATGCAAAGATGCAACTACAATAGGCTCGGGTATTCTAAGAATGGCATATGAGATGCTACAGCTAACACATATTCAACTTGGAATTGAAATACGATGCAGTTAGTGTGATGCGCCGAGCCCGGTGCATGTAATACAGATGAATGATGCAAACATGCAAGCATAAGTATGCTAATTGAAACATGCCCTAATCTAACCATCATAAGTTGGTAAATAAAAGGGAGAAAGATGTGGGGTTGGAAGACATACATCACACGCACGCACACTTATTACAATTGTACCCTCGCTCGGAGGGTCCGAATAAATAATACAGTCCGAATGAATAATTACAGTCCGAATAAGTATAAAATCCTAATTAATTAACAACTTAACTAGGAAAGCGGATAAATTAGCATGCAAGCTATGGACCGCCTCAGCTCTGTTTCGAATGATGAATGATGCATGTTCGAGTTGCCATTCGCGAAAATCCATTGCGATGCCCCGATTCGCCTCTGTTTACACTTAATCCCGGAATGCTGTGCGAAGCTCCAGAAAGCTGTTGATTTCTGATTTGCTGCAACAGAGAGCAAGAAAGGGGAATGGCAAAGTATTTTCACATATGTATGCATGACTACTCTTCAAGGAGTGTAGTCCTCGATCCTCGTGACACCAATCACGCATCTTGATGCATGATGGCCAAGGAGTCGAATTGCACGACTTGATGTGAAATGAATGCACATGAAAACACAACAAAACCTAAACTCCATCATGGGTAATCCGGAGTGTCAGCGACCGGGAATTGAGACACGTTCCGTCACTCGGAGTATGAAACGTCCCTCGTTTCCCGTGCTTGGACTAACTCCTATCCCAAACACGATGCAAGTGAGATGGCATATACAATGCAACTAACATACAACATAGCATACGCAATACTATGAAATGGCATACACAATGCTCGATGTAACATGGCATACACAATGCTCTAACATGCAACCTAGCATACGCAATGCTATGAACTGAAATGGCATACACAATGCATGATGGACTTACACCAACATGAGTGGACCTCAGTCACACTCACTTCAGTGGCCATTAGATGAAAATGAGATAACCGAAATGTGTGCACATATGCACGAATACCGAGGACCGAACCTAAGGCATCAAATGCCACTCTACCAAAGCATGGAAAGGGATGAAAGATGGCATACAAACATGTAATTTCCAGCACTGGAATATGATGCGCAATGGTCCCAAATCATGGAAATATGGCACCCAATGCATGAAAGAGGCCCCGAAACTCAAAACTAGACAAATGCATTGAACCATAAGTATGCAGAGCAAGCATTATTTGGCTATGAGGCATGAAAATAGAGCCAAGGCAGTCCAAAATAAGCACAACATCAGTTCCAAGCATGGCCCAAAAGTGCTAACATGAAGGGCTAAAATAACATGCAACCTAGGCTAGTAAGCATGGTTTACATGGCATGTATATGAAGCATAAGAAAGGTCGCCAAACCAGCCCAAAACAGTAACATGGCATGTCAAATAAACCCTAAATAACCACTGAAATGCATCCAATGCATGCAAAAGTGATGAGCTCCTTTGGAGGGCCATGCAAGGGATTACTCAACACATACAACAAGAACACTTAACATGGAAAAACCAACTCTGGAAATCAATTATGACAGTCCTAAAACTCACCAAAAAGGCCCTAAAATGGGTCAAGGAAGCATGCAATGAAAGGTCCTCTTGAAAGGCCTTGAGGAGGATTGTTCCACACATGCATGAGGGACACAAAATATGGTCAAAGAGGCTCTGGACAGAGCTAAGGAAGACCTTGAAACTCACCAAATTGGGCCTAAAAAGTGACTTCACAACATACAAGTAAGGGGCCCTTTGGAAGGCCAAAAGGGCCAACAAACAAGACAAGGAGAGAGGGGGATTTCAGTGGCTAAGAGGCCAAACCAAGGCCAATGCGAATGCTCTAATGCATAGCCCTAATCATGAGGAAATGAAGCATGCTAAGAGGAAGATGACCCCAAATGGAAAAATGCCCTTAATCAAAATTCAAGAGGGGCTCAAAATAAGACTTTTTTTAGTTCATGGAAAATCTTGAAAATGCTTGCAAGTAAAGCTAAGATATCATGCAAAATAAGCCCTAAAAGAGAGATGAAGCATACAAGGATGTAGGAGACCTCAAACAGAAAAGTATCCTTAATAAAACTTCAAGAGGAGCTCAAAATAAGACACTTTACAATTTATAACAAAATCCAAAAATTCTTGCAACTAGGGCTAAGCTATGGAGCAAAATAATGCAAGAAAAGGGGAAATGGAGACTTACTCTTGTAGCACAGCGATGCAGCAACTTCTGGACCAAGTTGGTGAACCTTCAACCCCTGAAAATCAGACCCAAAGTGCTGGAATGGATGGTGGGGGTGGTAGGCTATGAGGTGTAGTGTAAATGACCAAGAACAAGGGTGTTTTGAGCTTGTATGAGAGAGATATGGAGAGTTGTATGTATATGCCTCAGCTGGTTTTTTCTAACCCTTGCAAATGGAGATGGAGGCTTGGTTTTATAGAGGAGAAGAGCTAAGGCTTCTTGAAGAAGCCTTAAGAGAGAGTCAAAGCTTCTCAAAGAAGCTTAACCAAAAGGGTCAAGCTTCTTGAGGAAGCTAGACCAAAAAGGTCAAGTTTCCTCAAGAAGCTTGACAAAAGAGTCATGCTTCCCTAAGAAGCTAAGCAAGAGGGTCAAAACCAACTTAAGAAGACCAAACAAAGGGCTAAAATCTCGGACAGTGGGTCAAGTGCTACACAGCTGGCACAGCTGTATTGCACTCAAGAAGGCCAAAAAGCAGAAGGCTGGCCGACCAGCCAAGATGGTCAGCCAACCACTTCCCCTGGTCAGCCGACCATGGTTCAAAAGGGTCAAGGTGAATTTCTGGTCGGCCATACCAGAAAGGTGGCCTCCTAGATGAGTAGAATACAACTGCATGGTGAAAAACCAGAAAAAGTGACCCATGAAAGGAAAAAACCAGCTTTCTAGCAAGGTTCAAAAGGGTCAGGAAGAAAAGCTAGTCGGCCTACCCATATTGGTGGCCTCCTAGATGAGTACAACACAATGCTGGTATGGGAGACCAGAAATTGTGATCCAAAAGTGGGAAAAACCAACTTTCTATCAAGAAAACCGGCTGGAGGAGAGAGAAAATATTTTTCAAAAGAATTTCTGGTCTCCCACTATACTACCACCTCCAAACAATGAAAATAGAGTCCATACCAAAAATGAACCCTAACCGATGCAAAACGAGGGTTCGAGGGCCAAAACGCGCGATCCGGAGCCCCGAAAACAAGCTGTAAGGCACCGGAGGTGGCGTACGACCACGAAGGTGGTCTCTCGGGCCACAGTGTTCCTCTAGGGAGAGGAAACAAGTTGTGTTCCAAAAACCAGAGCAAACGGAGGTAGTTAGGCGGTCCCGAACTGAGGCACACGGCCGACGGCCCCGAAAACCGATAACTGATCTCCAAACGGGAAAAATGGCCTACGACCACAAAACGTAGCCTACGGACACTAAGAGATGGTCTACGAGACCTCTCCCTCCCTTCGGGAGGAGAAAACGAAGAAAACATGACCTGGTTCGCAAACCGAAGCAAAGCACAAAAGAGCCCCAAAGTCTGGAGGCAAGGCTCGCAGCCGAGACTCTACAACTTCAGAATGAGCACCACATGCACCATCACCAAGCGCTTAATCGGTAACGTCTGAGTCTTAAGGTCGGTCAAAAATGGGGTGTCTACAGGGAGAGGCGGGAGTGTCGTCCAGCCATTGCCACCGTCGCCGCCGTCCAGTCGCCACCGCCGTCGTCCAGTCGTCGCCGCTATCGCTGAGGTGTGGGAACATTTCATTCATCCCTTTTAACATTGTACAAATCTATACATATATAACCCAATCTCTACACAATCCCCAGAATTTTTTCAACTCAAATTTTTATGTATATGTATTGTTTAAAGTGTCCTTCATTTTTCACAAATTCCACCGTTTAACTAAATGAATGATGATTGAGATTTAAGGTTCTTATAAAATGAAATGTGTGTTTACATGAAAACAAAAATACGCTGCACCTGTATCTCAATCAAAATGACGAAGAATGGAAAGGCAAAAGCAATGTCCCCGAGTGCTTGAGCCACTAACCATATTTTTTTAGTAGTAGTAGAAGCTGGTACACCTCCAATGCTACCCTTTATGTTTCCATCTCCTACAATTTTACATTCTTGAGCATCTTGGTTTGATTTCATTTCCAGAATCTGTTTTCTGAAAAATACTAAAAAACTAGTTTGCTGAAAATAAACACCAGAAAGATATCTTTGAATTTTCAATAACTATTTATGCACACAACCCAAAAAAAAATTATGAGTATTTTCTATTTTTTCATTACCAAATTAGTTTTTCCTGTTTTCAGAAAACAAATTCTGAAAACGAAACCCAAGAGAGCAGTTATCCAAAATTTTCTTTTCCACCGTTTTGGAGGTTGAGATGGAACTGTTTAAGGAAGTTCACGAAATCTGTGAGGAGGGAGAAAAGCAGAGTTGTTGGAAGGATTGTGATTGCCAAATGGAAAGAATTATTGCAGTGATTGAGACATAGTTAGCAAAGAGGTCTGAAAAAGAAAACCATTTCAAGAAATGGAACAGTAAGTCCTCCATGAAATCTTCTTTTTCTAGTCCTTTCTGAAAGAAGAAATGGAGGTATTTCTGAAAGAAAAAGGCTTGGGGTATTTCAGCAACCATGCCAACTACAATGACATGATGATGAGTGTTTTTAAAATTTTCATTATTTTTTCACCAAATTAGTTTTTAGTGTTTTAAAAAAATAGATTATGAAAACGAAACCAAATTACTTTTTAAAATTTTCATCATTTTTTGAGTTGATCATGGTTGTCATGAATTCAGTATATGTATTGTTTAAATATAAGTTTATAACCCTTCTATGCTTTTTGCACATCATTTATAGGCTGTGCTTTTGTGCAAACCTTATTTATTTTTTTATTTCATATTAGTAATTTAGCTATTATCTTGATCAATATTGTGCAATTGTAGGTTATAGCCATTTGGTTGATTTTCTTACCCCTTTCTTTTTTGTTTGCTGTGGAGGTGTGGAGAATTGTGGGCATTTTGTTTAATAGAGATGGTTAAAAATAAATGAAAACAAAAAATCAGCTTTAATTGACCTTAGATTAAAAATTATCATCATGGTTTATTGTTATGGTTATCACTTTAGCTGATAAGTGATGTTTGTTTTTTAAACATTTGGTGCAGTCAAAGATAATGTATATAAATAGAAGTATCTTACATTTCATTCATCCATTTATTTTGTTTGTTTTTGTTGTTTAATTTTAATTTTGATTTTGTATGTTAACTTGTTGATTATAAGAAAATTAAGGAATTTGTGTTCAATCTGGATCATTTAAAACATAATTTAACATTGAAGACCATCTTTGTACCCCTTTGTTTATATAATCTAATATGATTCAATTCTTGTAGTGTTTTTATTTAGTTTGTATTATTTTGCAAACATAATTTACAGTTTTTATGCTAATATTGAGCATTTTTTTTCTTTTTTTAAGTGACTTGGCACAGTGATATGGAACCTAACAATGTTGAGAATAACGGGGGTGATTGTGATTGGAAGCCTAGAGTTCACATGACATTTGATACAGAACAAGAAGCATATAATTTCTATAATGCTTATGGAGGAAGGATGGGGTTTAGTATTAGAAGGGGTTATGTAAACAAGAACAAGGAGGGGCAAATCACTTCAAGGCTATTTGTTTTTAATAAGGAGGGGTTTCGGGGTACAGACAAGCGAGATCCATTAACAAAAAATCCTAGGCAAGAAGTGAGGACTGGTTGTCAAGCCCGACTTATCATTAAGTGGGATAGGAATATTCATAAATTTTTTGTTGGTGAGTTTGTTGAACAACATAATCATATTTTTGTACCAACAGAATGTACGCATATGTTACCATCCCAAAGGAAGATATCTGCATCACAGGCAACCGAAATAGATTTAGCTGAAAAATTTGGAATCTGGCTTAATGCTGCATTTGAGCTCATGGGTAATGAAGCTGGTGGAAGGGAGTCGCTTGGGTTCACAAAAGTGGACCAAAAATATTATTTGAGAACGAAGAGGCAAAAGAGCTTAGCATATGGGGGGGTAGGTAGCATTTTGTAATATTTTCGTGAGAAGACATTGGAGAATCCATCTTTTTTTTACTCGGTCCAATTAGATAGTGAGGAGCAGATTACAAACATATTTTGGGCCGATGCTCAGATGATCATGGATTATGGGCAATTTGGTGATGTTGTCACTTTTGACACTAATTACAAGTTAAATAGTGCACATAGACCATTTGCGTCTTTCGTTGGATTTAACCATCATAGGGAAACTGTTATATTTGGCGCAGCTTTGATGTATGATGAGACTGCTGATTCTTTTATATGGCTTTTTAGAAGATTCTTGGAGGCAATGTCAAGTAAGGCTCCGAAAACAATTTTTACGGATCAGGATGCTGCAATGGCTAAGGCCATACCTATTGTCATGCCTAACACAAAACACCGCCTTTGCACTTGGCATTTGATGCAAAATGCATTAAGGCATGCAAATTCTATCTTCAAGGATAAGGAGGTGAGGGATAAGGAGATGAAGAGTGTTTTATCCAAATTTATGTACGACATTGAGGATGAGGATGATTTTACGTTAAAATGGGAGGAAATGCTTGACAAGTATGAAGTGCGAGATAATCATTGGTTGAAGTTAACATTTGAAGTCAAGGAAAAATGGGGTTGGCCATATGTTAGAAATGCATGGGGTGCGGGTATGAGTAGCACCCAACTTAGTGAATCCTTTAATGCATTCTTGAAGGATTTCATTCAGTTTAATCATAACTTAATGCAATTTTTCATGCATTTTGATCGAGTTCTTTGTGAGAAGAGGTACAAAGAGTTACAAGTCGAATATGCTCTATGCCATAAGTTGCCGAGGGTGAATATTAAAGTGGAGATTATGGAGCAAGCTGCAGATGTTTACACAAATAAAATTTATGAAGAATTTCAAGATGAGTATGTCAAGTCCCTTGAAGTAAACATTGAAGAAACTGAAATTTGTGGTGAGAGTACCATTTATACGGTTCTTGATAGTGATGGTGTAAAGGTGAGGAAGGTGACAGTGGAGTGTGATGGTTCACTCACTTGCAATTGTAGGAAATTTGAAATAAAAGGCATTTTGTGTAGTCATTGTTTGAAGATCGTTAGAGAAATCCTCAAATTCAAAGAGATTCCTTCCCAATATATTCTCAAGAGATGGACTAAAAAAGCAAGAGCTGAAAATGTGAAAGATAGGTGTGGGCATGATATTAAGGTTGATGTAAGATTGCATCAAACTTCACGCTTTAGATCATTGATGGCAATTTTCAAAGCAGTAGCGTGTAGAGCTTCCGAAAGTGAGGAAACATATAACTTGATGGTAGAGAAAGCGGATGACTTAATTGCAAACATTGAAAGCATGTTAAGTGCAAAATTTAATATGCCTTTCTCAGATACTATTGAACATGAAAGCCCTCCTGACACATGCCTCGAAAGCTTTGAAGTGGATGGTGTAGTGGATACAAATGTAGTTCAAGCAAAAGGACTCAAACGAAGAGAGTGCACTAGCAAGGGACGAAGGCGGACAAAAGGTGGTTTGGAGCTTGTGTTGGCAAAGAAAAATAAAACAAGTTCACATAATGCTTCTCAAACTCCCATGTTTGTTGCTCCTCAACCTAGTTCACACAATGCTTCTCAAACTCTCATGTCTGTTGCTCCTCAACCTCCTCCCTTATTTTCGGCGAGTGCTCCTGAACCATCTTCCTCATTTTCACCGAGTATTCCTCAATCAGCTCCTTTATTTTCAATAAGTGCTCCTCAACTTCCTCCATTCTCAACGTGTGTTCCTCAAGTTAATGCTTCATCTACTCAATTTATGTATCCCGCCTATGATGTAAGTTACTTTAATAAGAAGTTTTATTATGACTTATTTTGTAAATATTTTGTACCATTTTAAATTGATATGTGTTTGTTATTGTTGCAGCCAAGTTTTCTTCGTCACAATATGCATTTTTCAATGCCATCGATGTATTCGGTCCATGGAAGCTATCAAGCCTTGCTTAACAATGCAAGCGGTTATGACTCGCAAGCCTCGAATAGTCCTGCATATAGTGAAGTAATTTATTTTTCACCTATCCTTTTTTATCTTGCCATTCATTCATTTAAAGTTCCATTTTATTTTATGGTTCCTTATAGATATTTGTTTTCTTTTTTAGGTACTATATGGGCATGGGCGTGGTCGTGGGCGTGGCCAAGGCCATGGGAATGTGGATCACACGTCAATATCGTAGCGTTGAATTTTTTTGTTGGATATGTAATATTGAACACTTTTCATGTTAATGTAGAAATTTGAGAAATTTATAAACTTTTTTGTTGGATATGTAATATTGAAGACTTGGCAGATTGTACTGAAATTTGAATGTTGAAATGACCTTAACCTTTTTTTATGTGAATGTTGACATGTTGAAATATGTGCTGAAATGGTGCTGAAATTTGTGTTGATATGTTGCTGAAATTTGGTTGAAATGGTGCTCAAATTTCTGCTCATATGTTGCTGGAATTTGGTTGAAATGATGCTGAAATTGGTGCTGATATGTTTCTGAAATTTGTGCTGATATGTTGTTGAAATATGTGCTGAAATGGTGCTTAAATTTGGGCTGATATGTTGCTGAAATTTGGTTGAAATGGTGCTCAAATTTCTGCTCATATGTTGCTGAAATTTGGTTGAAATGGTGCTCAAATTTCTGCTCATATGTTGCTGAAATTTGGATGAAATAATGCTGAAATTGGTGCTGATATGTTTCTGAAATTTGTGCTGATATGTTGTTGAAATATGTGCTGAAATGGTGCTGAAATTTGTGTTGATATGTTGCTGAAATTTGGTTCAAATGGTGCTCAAATATGTGCTGATATGTTGCTGAAATTTGTGTTGATATGTTGCTGAAATATGCACTGAAATGGTGCTCAAAGTTGTTGAAATATGTTGCTGAAATTTACGTTATGTTCAAATCATGGGAATCTCATTCTAGTTTGATATCAGCAAAAAATAAGTTTATTTGGGCTGATATGTTGATATGTGCTGATATGTAAACCAAATAAACCAAATCTGTGTTGATATGTTGCTCAATCAAATATGTGCTGATATGTTGCTCAATTATTATAACCCTTCAATTTGAATAAAACATTATTCCATTTGAATTTCTTAAAATCTGAAAATACATGTTTGGTCATAACAATGGTCTGAAATTGAGTGGGACACAAATCTGAGCATCACATGAGGATATAGATCATTGGAGTGTCCTGATTTACATCAAAGTAAACAAATGGCAACCGTCCATAGAATTCTATATATGTATACATGGACCATTGTCCTTCATATCTTCAATAACAACATAAACTAGAAGCACAAAAAACAGTAACATACCATACCAACAATCCAAACCAATAATCCAAACAAACAAAAGAAGTCAACAACCAACTTCATTTACACATAATATTTAGTTCAGAAAAGGCGAAGTTTAAATCCGAATTTAAATTACACTTAATTTTTAAACAACAAAAGAAGTCCAAATCCAAATAACATTATTACAATGGCGTAGTGCAACTTTTTCTAAAGTTGTCTAATCCCTACAACCATTTGTTTACTTTCTTTCATAAGCTTTGTAACTATCTCTTTCAGTTCATCATTGGATACAATCACTTCATTGACCAAAGGGTTGATATTACAATTGTCGTCGCTTTCCTCCCTTATCATCTTCAACCATTGACGCTGCTTATGTACAGGCATCCACCATTGAAAGAAGCCGCATCCATTGGTGTTGTTTGAAGGGCAAGCAAAGTATACCATCCCCGGATTGTCCTTTGACTCTGAAATCCTGAATACTGCTCTCACCCCGCAACGACATTTCCGATTACTAAACTGAATTTCGCTAATATCAGTCATAGATGCATTTGATGTTGACATTTTTTTACCTGACATAACAAATGGAACAAAAATGAGTAGGACTCAAATTCTAAATCACATGAAATGGGTAATGGGAGTGAATCCTGCCATCTATAAAGGTAAATAAGTACATGAAATGGGTAATGGGAGTAAGGAATTTATAAATATTCAGTCATGCTCGTGTGGTATTATGATCCAATGATTTGTCCATAAGTTGAAGTCTCATCTATAAAATAGTTTTGCCCATAACCTACAAAACTAATATCGAGCATTAAGTAATCAGTTTTGGGGGGGAAAAAAAAATCAAAGTCTACAACCAACTTTGATCAGTGGATTTTGATATATATTTCTTATTGGTATGAAATGTTTAGATATGGTAAATATATTGTTTTGATTTATGAAAGGCATTATCAGAATAAGTATGCATGAATCCTTTCCAATATGTGCATGAACCCTTTAGAATAAGTAGGCATTATCAGGATTAAACTTTTCTAAAAATGTAGGAGAGTCGATTATTATTGATAGACTGAAAAAACGAATGGGGAAGAAAGATTTGAGTTAGAAGATAAGTATTTTCCTATGATTTTACCCAATTAGAATATGTGCATTGTTATTTCAAATCCATTATAATTTATCACGAGTCACAACAAAACTCTCAAAGTCAATGAACATCCAAATTTAAATTTGAGTTGTCCCCTTGAACAATAAGTTATCAAATATTTTTTCCTTAAAATCCATAATCCAAATACACGAAATATGTACACACTTTTTGTCATCTCAAAGTAGCAAATGATGTGAAACAGGAAATATCTTTTCAGACTCTAAATTCCAATATGTCTACGGAATTCCAAAGCCTCAATAGAATGAGAGGTAAATAAAAAGATTAGCCCTGTAACAACTATCATCATCATACCCACAAAGATCCAATTGCAAATTGAAGAATAATTATACCCAGTTCTGGTACCAAAAACACCAAAAATAAGGCTTTCAATTTCTAATTCACACATAAGTTTGTTAAATTTCTCACAAATCATTGTTCTATTCAAGAATTTTCCAATACGATTTTTGTACTACAATTGAAAATTTTGACCTACCAAAACATTTCCCTTCCCCCAATGTCAGATCTTATATGAAATTCAAATTTTTTTTAACCATATCTCAAAAAACAAAATTCCAAAGGCCAAGTAAAATTAAACTAAAAGCAAACAGAGAACAGAAATTAAAATAAAATAAAATAAAATAAAAAATTGTATGGATTAAAATAAAATAAAATAAAATAAAAAATTGTATGGAAGAACATGAAGAAGTAAGATTCGTAAATAGTCATTAGATTTGAAACGTCACCATAGATTCAACTTTGGATTAACAAAACACTACATACACAAAGATTCTTGTATAAACATCATGATCACATTTACAATGACAGAGTGTACCAAGTTTAGATTTTTTCTAATTTTTGGATTCAAAGACCTAATATTTTAACTTTGGAGGATGAACAAACCTGTGCTCTTTTCCTTCAATCTGTTGGAGTATGGCGAGGCAGCGGCGTGGCAGCGGTGATCGGGGGTGGATCGGAAGCTCTTCTCTCAGCCCTATTTTCTCTCTCTCTCTCTCTCTCTCTCTCTCTCTCTCTCTCGTCTCTGATGCTTCACGTATCATAGATGATTTAGGAATTTTGAATCAACTCAATTTTTTTATTTTTATTTTTTTTTTGAAATTACATTTTGGTTAGTTACATTCTCAACCATTGGATCAACACACGTCAGGTATCATTTCAGGGCCAATACTTCAGAGGATCCTGATACACCAAATAACGCCACTGACTTTATTCTACTCTTTGTCAGGACTCTCCCACTCCTACTCTCCTACAAGTCTAATTCGATGATTATCGTTTCGCTTTTTTGCAATTTCTCACCAGCCAAATAGTCATAAATGGAAATCTACGGAATATTGTCTAACAATTCATTATGAATTAGGTCAAAATTTGGTGATTTCTCGGTTCCCAAAGCCACAACACCTAGCCAGATTCCCGCCCTAATTGCTTTCGTGGGAAATGATTTCATTTGAATTTTTTTTAATTGATTAATATTAAAATATATTGCTTTTCAGGGATTGCAATTCAGTCCACAAATTCAATATCCAACTATGAACAGTATGAGAAACCCTTGAGGTGTGTGTGATGAGATTTATTCAATGTTTTCATCAGTTTATATTTGCTTATAAAAGTTTGACTTTTATGGTTTCGTGTTTGTTTGATGCATATCCCTGAATTGGAGGTACGAAGATGCTTTGATTCCCATAAACTATAGCCATTGATTTTTATAGCTTGTCACGAATTGCTTCCAGAAACTTGGTTTGACAGAAAGATGGGTATTTGTTTTTTTTTTTTTTAGAGGGGAAAAACCCAAGGAGAATTACAAAGCTTCAGAAAAAACTAAAGGAAATACATCGAAAGGGACTTCTTCCATCCAGATAGATGGTCCAGAACTCTTAAGTGCCAACTGAGCTAGGCTATGGGCAACACGATTGCCCAGGCGAGGAGTATGAGAAGCATTCCATTTTCGAAAGCAACAGCCCTTTGCAATAGCGTCTTGAAGAACATGACCGTAGGAGCATAACAATGGATCTGCAGCTTGAAGAGCTCGAATGATGTTGAACGAATCCCCTTCTAAGTGAACATCAAGAATGCCCAGGTCCATAGCAAAATGCACCGCTCGTTGAGCTGCAAAAGCCTCAGCACAATTTGCATCACCCCAGCAATCAATCCTCTCTGACAAAGCCGCAATAACCGCACCGGCATGGTCCCGAATAATAACACCAACTCCAACTGCCATGAGGTGATTGAACACAGCACCATCAAAATTAACTTTGTAAAACCCATCAATTGGAGCGACCCAACAAACAGGATCCTCAAAGACTGGTGCACTTATGGGTCGATGATTCGCAAGAGAGAAGTCATGTAATAGTTCACACACCCAAAGCACTATATCCTCCGCTGAGCGAACGACTTCATTGAAGATGGCTTGATTGCGAGCGCTCCACAAACCCCAACAAAGCGAAAAAAATAGGCCAAGCCCATATTCATCAACTCTATTGCCAATCACCGAAACCCATTGAGAAAAATCTGTACAATTCCAAGATTGAACTTCAAATCGCAGCGGGCTTAATTCCCACACCCGTTTCGCAACATGACAATCACGAACATAGTGCAACAAAGTCTCTGGACAGTTGGGACAGAGAACACAATTTCCAGCCACAGAAACATGCCTACGATGCAACAAATCGGAAGTGGGGATGATATTCAAAGAAGCTCTCCATGCAAAGAATTTAATTTTGTTCGGAATTCGA